GATCCAACTCCACCTTTAATATCCCAAGTCTTGAGAATGTAATCGTGCTTTCTGGCATGTGTTCAAGCTGTAAAACAAAAGCGCACGGAGTATGGTTTATGGTGCATAAGAAAAACATAATGGCACTTGAAAACTCGATAGCAAAATTCAACTTTTATGCGCCTACCCAGTTGGAAGTAGAGTCCACCCTCAAAGATCTCAAATGAGGAACATATTCGGGCAGCTTCGAAAACTTGTACCCCAAGCCATTGTCAGGCATTGCATAATGGAGTATTTCCAAGTTAGGGACCCCAGTTAGCTCCAATGAAACAGTCCTCTGACACAAAACTCTCAAACTCTTGATCTTGAGACTAGCCAGTTCAATCTTTTTCAACCCGATGCAAAACAAAACCGAGACACGCTCTAGACTGGTGAGTGAGTTGAGGCTTAAATCGGGAGGCAATTCGCAAAAGTCCATTTTCAACTGCTTGAGGTTTACTAAGGTTGATAGCGAACTCCATATACATTGAGACTTCAAGCGAGTGTGATCAAATCTGAGGGCCTCTACGTGGCTGAATGGACGGACAGAAAAAGTTGCTCCTGCATCACAGTTAGATGACAGAAGATGCTTTATAGGAATTTCACACTGAGTATCACACAGTGCCCCTTTAGTACTGCAATGTTCACAATAAAACTGCAAGTCGATCGCTTTCACACCTAAATCAAGAGCAAATTTAATCCAATCCCTGGCATGAGGAGCGAAGTCCCTCTTCAGGCAAAAATGAACAATGAACTTGCTTATACATCTGCCTCTATACGAAGCTATGAATCTATATACAGCTTGTACAAATTTAACTCTGTATTCTGAACAAACACATTTCTTTCCTGAAGCTCCCTTGAGATCACAACTTTCCATTCCAAAAATGTTAGACAAATCAAAAACAAGGTTAGCCCGGGACAAAACAAGATGCCTCCATCTAGATGATACCAAACTTGCTCTAACTGCATCCCTAAGTTTTAATTTATTGAGTATACACTCAAGAATTTCATCAGGAAGTTGACAGATGTTGCCCCCAACTGTGGAGTGTACATCCTGAGATACATATAAACATGATGATTAGCATATATACCAATAAAATTATTACCTTTTCATAAAAACAATCCATTGGGCAAAAAAATTCTTGACGTTGCAATATTTCACTTTCTTTCTAAAATAACCCCAATATCTTTACTGTTCATAAGTTCTTCTTTTTTTAAGTTCACTATGCTAATTTTTCTTATTTATTAGGAAAACTATGCCAAAACTTGAGGTAAAGAAAATTTGGATAAGAATAGAAAAGAAAAGAATCCCTTAACACACACACACACATATACATATACATATACATATATATATATGTATATGTCTGTATGTATATATATGTGTGTATGTGTGTGTCAGTGTGTGTGTGTATATATTTTAGGCACATATATATATATGTGTGTGTGTGTGTGTGTGTGTGTGTGTGTGTGTTTGTCTTGGTCCAATTTAACACAACACCAATACTTCTTTATCTTATATGGGCACATCCTTACGCCTTATGCATGCATAGAATTCCATGTTTAACTTGGTACAAAACCAGCAAATATTGTGTTGTTAATGGAAAAGTGAAGAATGATACCAGAAGTACTCGTCCTCTCTTAAAAAGATCACGGATACGCTTTGCTATCTTGAAGGGCAAGAAGGCCATGATCCCTGTTATAACCAAACAATTTGAAATTAGATTATTAATTATGAATTCCAATAGGTATTAGGAGAAGAATACAACCTCACCTGCAATGTGGGGGGGAATAAATAAGTTTCCCATATTTATCGATCCACTAAGATTGCGGTACTAAATTCATTAATTTTCCTTATGATCATTGAACCAAGCATCCAAGTCCATAACATACTCAAAATTTAGGAATTGGGAATTTGGTCATTTGGATATTATTTCTTCAGACATCACCTTTTGTAGGTCAAATCTTAGGTTTCGCATGTTATTGCTATGGCTACAATCTGTGAAAAAAAATTACTAGTACACATTTTTTTGTTCAAATTTTACAAACTTCAACTACAATTTGTGAATATATTTACTTATGATTTAAATTTCATAGAATTGAGCTCCTTTAAGAAGTAGTTTCGAATTTTGATATGTCAAATTTCATCAAAAGATTTTGCTTTCAGCAAAAAAGATTGAAGTTTTCAGCAAAACAACAATGCTAATTGAAGTACGAACAGAGCTGAGTCTCAAAAAGAAAAGAAAGGATTAAAACTCTCCGTATAAAATTAAAAAAAGAAAAAATTGAGAAAGACGTACCGTCAGGAGGAGGGGGGGATTGGGTTGGCAAAGGAAGAAGATGATGATTTCGGGAAGAAAGAAGAAGTTCCCAGTCTGTCTGTCTGTCAAACCGTGCAAACACAAATTGCGTCTACAAGAAATCCATCCATGTCCTCCCATTAACAAAAAGTTAATCCTCCACTGTGTGTTTGGTTGAAATATATTTAAGGCAAAGAAGATTTTCCCAACGAGGAGTACTTTACAATGAGGGGTTTTTCAGTCCCGTCCCAACTCCTCCCACCATTTTAGGCTCCACTTAAAACTCTATCTCTCCGTTTCTTTTATACTAGTAATATTTTTTTTATTTTTAATTCAAAATTTATATAAATTTAATATAAATACGGAGTAATTATTTATTAGTAAAGATAGATATTCCCTCTGCCTTAAAATTATCTCTCTAGTAACTATTTACACAATCAAACTAAAATCACTTTCTTTACCTATTTTTTGATAAAATAATACTTCCTCCGTCCACAAATAAATTTCTCGTTCACTAATTACATAGTCAAACTTTATTCATTTTGTTGGCCTATTTTCATCACTCATTTGATAAAAAAAAATATAGTCATGCCACCTCTAATTTTGTAGATCTTTTGATGTAGTTTTTTAATATGTAATTTTTATTTTTAAATTTTACACCATTTTTCATATAAAATAAGTTGAAAATAACTTCAGTCAAACATCGTAACGCGTAACAAGAAGTTTATTTGTGGACGGAGGGGGTATAGATTTGTCACCTCTTGTTTTGTAGAACTTTTCATGTAGTTTTTAAATATATAAATTTTATTTTTTAATTTATACCTACAATCAAATAAATTGATTTTGAAAATTAAATCGTCAAATCTCGTAAACACAAACGGTAAGATGGTTTTAGGAGGGAGAGAGTAAATGATAATAAATAAAATAAAAGTAATAAATTCAAAATTAACAAAAATAAATAAAAAGATTAACATTAATTAAATAATAATTATTGAAATTAAAAAACTGAAATTGAAATTTAAAAAAAAAAACTCGAAATTGAATACATTAAAAAAGAGGGTTTAAAATCTAAAAAAAAAAAAAGAAATTGAGAAAAATGGATGAAGAAGAAGACAAGAAGCTACGCAGGAAGAAGAAGAAAATAGACCGTGCAGGAGGAGAAAGAATGATCTCTACTTAATTGGTTGCAAAGCCATTTATAAACACCCCCTTCATCACTTAGCTTTATTTGTGTGCCTCCACCTACGTACCTCGTCCTCACTCCTTATTGGCCGTCGTCGTTCATTATTGTTTCGTTTAAAAATAAAGTACGTACTGTAATAAATAAATCTGTGTTCCTATATATATGTATTTGACATTTGTATTGTGCATGATGTAATTTATTTTTTTTTCCCAAAAAATCTGATCTGATCTGCAAATGAGAAATGTTGAGGCCCTGTTAGTTTCATAAAACAAACATGTAACACATATACGAAAGAATATGAGAATAATAATTGTTTGTCTGCCATTAGTCTTCCAATTTGTACAAAATAAGTTGTACTCCGTATTTTTTATTGTTATATCAATTTATAATAAAATAAAGAAGAATTTACTTAAACATGACTAAAACATAATGTCTTTCTCAATATAGGATTATATGTTTTTATTTCCCCATGTAGGATCATTGGTCATTATCCATTAGTCTTTATTCAAATAAATGTCCACCATCACTGGACATTATTTTTTCCACTAGACATTATTAAATATTATTTAGGTAATAAAAAATTTTAAGTCCTATATTAAGAAATAATTTATGTTTTAGTCCTTTTTAGTACAATTTTTTCTAAAATAAATTTAACACACGAAATTTTACACGTCCTTTTGAATTATGTTATCAATTAGTATGTGATAGAGAGAGTAATAAATTTTATGTGAAACAAATCATTTAAAAAAAATTAAACTAAAAAGTTCTATTGTGAAAAAATAATTAATTGAGTACAACATAAACCATTAAAGAAATTGAAACAAAAGTCTCAAGTTCTCGTTCAAAGGTCGCTGGCACTCGTTGCACAATCACAACTAGGGATGCATACAAATCAAATATAGTTGATTTGGTTCGTGATTTGTATTCGAAAAAGATGATTCGTGTTCGCCTTAATCAAATACGAATACGAATCAAATATTAGATTCGAATTCAAATATAAATACAGAAATCACTCTAAATAGGACTAAAACATAGAAAAATGTACCAAAATATGACTTTCATGTTTATTTTCAAAATAAGACTTCACATTGTGATAATGTGATTTTTAATGTTTTAGTCCTACTTTAGTCTTTTTCCCTCTCAATATTGACTAGAAATAAAATGCTACCCAGAGTAATATTTGTTTTCTTTACATTTATGGTGTAAAATGTCAAGTACTTCAATCATAATTCAACATTTGAACTGTCAGAGAAAAAAAGACAAAACAAACAAAATTGAATTCGAATTTCACATTTTATCATTTCTTGTCTCTACAATAAGTCGGTTTTTTAAATAAATGCCCAACATCATTTTTATACTATGTATAAATAATTTAAACGAATTTAAGCATGGCTCCAGGCTGGTAAGCAACACTGAAATTTAGGTGACCACACAGAAAATTTGTTGGTGTATTTAGTTCAAAAGCAGTTTCCTCTTCTATTTGGATTTTGGCTGAAATCCTTCATTTCAGCTTGATGCTGATAATTACTGGTTAAAAAAAGATTAAAAAAAATTGAAACAAAAACAGATATTATGTTGGGTAATAAACAGATAAAAACAAGTCAAGGGTAATATCATTATTTACTGATGAAAAACTTAATGCATCGAATGTTTTACTTTGATGTCTTATTTTCCGTGACCTCGTATTGCCCTTGTGTAAGATCATCTAGCAAGCATCAAGGCTTAGCAGCAGCTACAAGCAAATCCAAAACAAATCATGAGATCCATATAATAAACAGCAAAAACCAAACATATATGCTTATTAGTAGTAGTGGAATCAGGGGGTTTGAACTGGAAATCAATCACATGTAACTCAATGCCACCACAGCATATACCACTCCACAAATTGAAAATTTTAAATGTTTAAAAGGCATGAGAACAACCTATGCCATATTTAATCGAAACCAAAACACAATCAGACCTCAGCTCAACCAAGAGACCGCTCTTTTAACTGTGTTTTTCTACCAACTAAACTAGTCTAATTACTAGATTTCTAATATGCATTCCAAACATACTGTACCTTCAATACAGTGCAGTTTGGTTCAAGAACTACTTAGCACACACATACATACACTTAAGTATTTTAATGAGGACTAATCAAAATTAATTCAATTAAATATTATGTAAACAGAAAAGAATCAGAGTAGTTAGGAGCGGCTAGATTAACCAAATCCAATACCACTATCCTGCATCAATACCAAAGCGGCAACAATATCAACAACAAAACAAAACATGTCAGGTCATTAGCACCTTAATCAGTAAGGAATGCCGAATCAACAATTGGTGAAAATATAATTTCCCAACATAGCAGCCTTGTTTAAGGGGAATTCTAGCAGTAACATATATAGGCTTACACATGCATTAATATGAGTAACAATGCTTGTTTCTTACCTTCATGCAAAAAATCATCGATGAAGAGAGAGCTCTAAGGACCAGAAGGGACAACACTGCAAGCTTGAGCTGATGCTTTGTTCATTGCTCTATCTGAACTCTAGCATTGCATCTGCTTGCAAGGGATCCAATACGTTTCATGCCGTATTGGGACAAGGACCCACAATGTGCCTCAAATATCCTTACCTACATTTATTAACATAATATAATATGAGAAAGAGAGAGGAGAGGGGGGGTTCAACATTGATAGCATTAAATAACATTTTCTTGAGGCAGTCCCAATCATCAACAAGAGGTTGCCCAGCTGGTCGAATGGCTTTTAACACCTATGGGCCTTTTTCAATACCGAATAAGAGCTTGCCAACAAGTTTTATGCTTTTTGATCTAAATACATTCTGTGAGACATTGCTTTAATGAGCTGCATTTGTGCTTCAGCGCCTTTCTTACAGAGCCTTAAGCTTCATGGCTATACTGTAAAAACATGTAGGGAAGGTAAAGTAAGATGAAGGTAAAAATAAACACTTAATCTTACATTTATTCAAGGAAAGACTATCTGGGACAAACCTTGTGCCAAAAATGAACAAGTTCAATTTGTGGTCCAAATGATCATATCTTCAAATACTACTCTGATCATGACGGACTTGGAGTGCTAGGTTTGTAGCTTTATCCTCTTGTTCCAATTTTTTTATAGTAACTAGATTTGATGATACCAACTGTTTGTTTGTCAATTTAGATATGCCTACCTTTCCAAACATGTATGCGAATGACCTAATTGATGTGTTGAAGAAGAAGCATGCTTTAGGGACTTATAAGGGCATGGTAATGATATGCGTACCTGTTTGATGTGTTGGAGAAAAAGCATGTTTGTCAATTTAGATATGCATATCTGTCCTCCTAAATAAGTTCCATATTTTCGAAGACAGTAAGTTCCATTACTATTCTCGTTGTCCCTTGCTGCTGTGGTCCGGTTCGGTCCGGTATTGGACCGATGAAAACCCCTAGTTGGATGAAGTTAGATTCATGTTTTTGTAAGAATGCACATATGCACACCCTAGGTTACGTTTGGCAATGTGTAAACTGGTATTCAAGGATTAAGATTTTATTGACATGGTTATTTATGTGGTATTGTGAATATCTATGATCAATTCATTTCGATTTGATTTCAGCTTTCTGGCACATTCTCAATTCTGCAATTGACAGGCTGATGTTTGTCATGCATATCAAATCTTGATAAAAGGTGGACTTAAAAGACGAGAATGTCATTGTTTTCATGTATGATGACATTGCTTTCAATAAAGAAAACTCAAAGGTTGTTCTCTTTTCAATTTCAAAGAGTATTCAGTATATAGAGTAAGACATTATCCCTTGACAAGAGGGGTTTTCATTTGACAGGATAACACGGGGGAAAATGTTACGGTGAACAACTTCTTTGATGTCATCCTCGGGAACAAAGACGCTTTAACCGGAGGAAGTGGGAAGGTTGTACATAGTGGTCCAAATGAACATATCTTCATATACTACTCTAATCATGNACAGTTGGTATCATCAAATCTAGTTACTATGAAAAAATTGGGACAAGAGGATAAAGCTACAAACCTAGCACTCCAAGTCTGCCATGATTAGAGTAGTATATGAAGATATGTTCATTTGGACCACTATGTACAACCTTCCCACTTCCTCCGGTTAAAGCGTCTTTGTTCCCGAGGATGACATCAAAGAAGTTGTTCACCGTAACATTTTCCCCCGTGTTATCCTGTCAAATGAAAACCCCTCTTGTCAAGGGATAATGTCTTACTCTATATATTGAATACTGTTTGAAATTGAAAAGAGAACAACCTTTGGAACTCCTTTATAAACATTATCACCATGTGAGTTATTGATGATAACTCTGGGCCTTGGGTTTTCTTTATTGAAAGCAATGTCATCATACATGAAAACAATGACATTCTCCTCTTTAAGTCCACCTTTTATCAAGATTTGATATGCATGACAAACATCAACCTGTCAATTGCAGAATTAAGAATGTGCTAGAAAGCTGAAATCAAATCGAAATGAATTGATCATAGATATTCACAATACCACATAAATAACCATGTCAATAAAATCTTAATCCTTGAATACCAGTTTACACATTGCCAAATGTAACCTAGGGTGTGCATCTGTACATTCTTACAAAAACATGAATCTAACTTCATCCAACTAGGGATGTTCATTAGTCCAAGACCGAATTGGACCGGACCGGACCGGACCGAAGACCGAAATGTAAAAAAACTAGGACCGAAGACCGTACATATAAAAAGCCGGTCTTAGACCGGTCCGGACCAAAAAATCTTGGACCAAACCGATATAGACCGATTGGACCGAATCGCTTCATGCTTCAAACACTGGGCAAAAAAAAAGAGTTAAAAACCTGATAACTGGGCGAAAAAATGGAGTATTTGGTGGTTCACTGGCTTTAGCAAGAAGAACAATGATTGAAAAAAGACACCACACAAACTAATCATAGTTATTTTTGATAAACAGAATAAACTAGAATGTCTCTCAAACTCAAAGTCTCAAACCTGTAGCATGAAATCTCAACACATTTAACAATGGACACCAATTATTTAGAGCTAGCTAAATAAAATTAGTGTACTCCATTTTTGTAAAATAAATTAATGAATAAATGTTTATACAAAAACGAGAGAGGCATGAGAGGGTGTTTAAAACAAATAGAACAAGGAGACCAAGCTAAAGCTTCAAGAAAAATTGATGAGGAACCATGTTTATTTTGAACATCTATACAATTCATTCTATCTAAATAAAGGAAAATTTTACATACCAAAGAAAAGGTTGGCAGTGGCTCTATCACATTTAGGGGTGAGCATCGGTTCGGTTCGGTTGGTTTCGGCCCAAAACCGAAAAAACCGAAAATTAAAAATACTCATAATAACCGACCGAACCGAATAAAAGTGAGAACCGAACAAACCGAACCGAGTAAAAACCGATCGGGTTCGGTCGGTTAGATAAAACCGAATTTTTCAATCCATGAACCTACTGCCCACTGCATATATGGAGCATTTCTCAAAAATTACACACTTAATTTAACAAAGAAAGTTGAAAAAACATTTAATTTACACACTTAATTTAACAAAGAAATTACACACTTAATTTACACACTTAATTTAACAAAAAAATTTGTCAAAACACTTAATTTAAGAAATAAATTTAATGAGAACAAAGAAATTTTTTGCTGAAATTACAACTTTATTCAATTACTCCAAAGTGGGAGTGTTGGGAATTGGGTTTTTTTGCTCAAATTACACACTTAAATCAATCACCATCTAACAAAGACTATAATATTAACAGCTCCCTGGGATTGTTGCTGCTACTGCTTGTGAATGGGGATGATGCGGCAACAAGCTCTGATAATCGTCGGCCATGGCCCTTGGCTAGTAATGCATCTAAAAGGATAATAATTAGCAACAAAAAAGAATGAACAAACCTGGTGAGTGGTGATTGCCGATTGGAACGGAGATGGTGATTGCCGATTAGATCTTGGCGTGAATGGGAGAATGGGAGATGGTGATTGCCGATTGGTGAGGACCAAGAAGACGAGAAACAGAGAACGACACCGAATTTAAAATTGCGGTCAGTTCGGTTAAATTGTTTCGGTTAATCGGTCGGTTCGGTTAAATTGCTCACCCCTAATCACATTCTCTTTACTACATCCTCAAAAAAATGGCTCGGCCTCTATTAAATTCTCTGGGTTTTTTGAAGTTAAATTGAAAATTACCTGTTCCTTGTGAACTTGTGCTGTTGTGTGAAGGGTTAAGGAGGTGAAGGTGCGATTGAGACTCGAGAGACGATAATTGACTGATGACGGAGAAGAGGAGATAGAGGAGGACAGGATGCCAAATGACGGATATGAAAATGGGCGGACGAAGAATCAGCGAGATGTGTGAGAGGGAGACGGCGATTACTCCGGCCGCGATAAGTGAGAGGGACGGCGATTCACTATGAATACAATAGCCGGATAGGGAGGATAGGGCTTACCCTTGACAGGAAATGAATGAACGGATGATAAAAATTCTGGAGGATAAGGTTTTCTCTGTCTATAGGTCCGGACCTATTTAAAATCGGGTATAGACCGAACCGGACCGAAACCCGAAATTACAAATTCTTTGGACCGAAGACTGACCTGATATTATTCCGATTCAGGCTCGGTCTGGACATATCGGTCCGGTCCGGTCAATTTTTCCGGTCTAGACCTATACATGAACACCCCTACATCCAACAACACTAAAGAACCAATCTATAACAAAATATAGCATTGGTTATTCATGAATCTAGGTTACAAATGAGATTTCAATGAGTAATGATGCATACACTGTAACACTTCAACCTGCGTAACCCAAATAAGGATTCATTCCGTCTCATCAGAAGAATTCTGAAATTCACCCAAATTCAACCAAATTCAATTATTTTGTGACAAAATTCCGTTGAACTCCCAAATTCAACCAAATTCCCACTCGTCCTCCTCTCATCAGAAGAATTCTGAAATTCACACAAATACTTCTACTTCCACAGGTCATCGTTTGACACCAAGTAGTTCAGCTCAGATGAGACGTAGCTCATCTTTGCCAAATCAACGCCGGGTAGTAATTCCAAGATTTTCAGCTTGAGTTCAGTGGGGAGTCTCACAAAGCATGATGGGATTCCAAAACCAACAACCTCACAGATGTCGATCAGCAATGGCAATGCAAGCCTGTCCTTGATAGTCCTCTAGAACTGTAATTTTTTTTTAACGGGCAAAGTCCATATAAGGCCATTTTCTCCGGGTAGCCCCATGTAGCTCGAATTTTATATTAAAAGATTATTGTTACTACACTTTTTCTTATTGAAATTCATACCAATAAAGATTCAAATGCACAGAGTATATGTTTAAATAACTGATGGGATTATGAGCTCCTCACATAAACTAATAAATACTAATAATTGGCCAGTTGAGTGGGAAAAAAACCAACACATACTACTGGATTATAGACTGTTTTTTAGAAAACTACTCCTTAAATTCTACAGTATATAAATTCAAAACATACAGTTTCATATTATATCACGGAAACTAACCCTTATCATTCTGTGTGGCATTCCTTGAGACACTAACCAACATCTACACTACAAAAGGCATTGATTTATAAATAATTGGTGATTTGGAAAATATAGATCAAAGACAAAATGGCAGAATTGGAAGGATGCAAACCTTAAATGCCTCTTTTTATTTGGTGAATCATTTGAGGAGTACTGAGGGGTATTCATTTTTATGTTTTCATGAGGTGGCTTAGAATAAAATTGGGCAATAAGACACATGCTCCAAAAAACTGAAAAGTACCTCATCATTTTCATTAGCATCTGAAAATGATTCTTCCAAAATCTTAATTGCAGTGAAACTCTGGCTAGATGCTGTTTTATTATAATGAGTAACGTTCTGCTTTGACATCCCCAATTGACTTGTGTGTCCTGTAAATATCCATGCAAAAATATCATAGAATCCTTTCCATTTGAAGCCAAATATATTACCCTGATTGTAAAAAATATGTAAACTACAACATATGGTGTGAAATATATTTAAAAAACATAAAGAAACTAACTAAAACAAAATGGGCTTCCTCCTTTTTATGCTTTTAGAACTAATCGAGGAAGAAGCAACACTTTTAACTTGTATAGAGAATTTTAACTTCTCAACTTTGTCATATAGACAGATAGAATCAAGTGTTCAACAGAACAACAGATTAGAATCTATTACCCAATTGAAACCAAAATCCAACGAATTCATTTGAAATTCTAGATAAAATTACAAATAAAAAAATTAAAATCATAGAAGAAGATATAAAACCTTAAGCTACTGCATATTCTCCATTTTTTTCCACCTCTCAAGGAACCGCACCCAAGATACGGATACATGGCTTTTTTGGATAGAAGAAAGATCAAAATAGTTTCATATATCATTTTGGATGAAAAATTAAACTGAAATTGAAGCGGTGTAAATAACCAACCTACATGGATGCAACTATCTTTGTCCTGCAAAATCCAGTTATTCTCTGATGTTATATTACAATTTATATTTCAAGATATTATTATATCATTTAAAGCTAAAAATATAACATATATTTAGTGTGATCATCTTTAATTATTGAGTTAATTTATTCCTGTGCATCTTACAGGTGAAGTACTAGTTAAAAAAATAAGATTATATAGTTAATATTGATGTAAAAAATAAGTTAAAATAAGAACGAATGTAAATGATAAAAATTTAAATGAAACAATAATAGTAAGACCAACAAAAAATAAGAAAAAAGATAAAAAAAGTAAGATGGATTAAGTAATTTTCAATTTTTAGCAAATTTGTTTATATAGACAATAATGATCAAAATGTTTATGAGTTTAGCATTCGATAGATAAAATCACACTCTATTCAATCCAATTTAAATTCGTATTTATTATTTACAAAGTTAAACCTTAAACAATCTCTTCATAAATTAAAATTTTCTATTTTAGAACCGTCTGACCCAAGGGAATTGGCGGTCAGAAAATGGAGGTACTGGAATGTTAGGAACTGGCTTATCACGACCTCCAGCGACGTTTCTGTCAATATTGTTTCTCCCGATTGGAAGCTTCATCAAATTTCCCAAGTCTAGGTATAATCTATGAGACCCTTTTCTAGCATCTTATCAGATTTTATTTTCATAAATTACTGGGATTTTTATAGCTGAGGATTTGTTTTTGAACATGAAGCTTCAATTAAGTTCTGATTCTAGGATTCTTCAACGGCATCAAGATTTTTTTTTCTTTTTTTTTGCACAAATTCTTGGGGTTTTATAATTGAGGATGAATTATTCATTCATTCATTCATTATTCATTCATCCTCGGTCATTGAAGATCACATTATTCTAGGGTAGCCTTCAACACTCAATTTGTATGTTTTACAATTGAATTAAAATGCGGAGTAAGAAGTTTTAACTATCTTTCAAATGGGTTATGAACGAGCATTAGAACTTTGATCAGAGTGATACTCTCTGTTCATTCCAAAGTCCAAACCCTAAAAAATGAGTTGATGAGTTTATGGGTGAAAATGGTGAAATCAACTTTTCTTAAGTCTTAACTAGTAGGAGGGCTTATTTGAAGCTTATCCCATTTGTAAAATTTCCATCCCAGCACCCTGAGTCGGAATAATCCATCTATGGAATTGGATGACTGGGAACCTAGTGCGCATGAGCTTGATTCTCTGGAGCAAGATGCCCTGAAACAAATCGCCGAGCGCAACTCGTCATCTTATTCTGCTACCACCTCTGTCCAGCATACTCAGGTGCCTCTGCCTATTTTCTGTTTTTGTGTTGCATCTAACAAGGGTTTCATGTTACTCACCTTCCCATAAAAAGAGTCTTGTTTTATAACAAGCAAAACAACAAAATTTCAATTTTTGTGAGATCCACTATTGAGTTTAGTTTTTAAATACTTGTGACCTTTGTTAAGTAGTTAGTCGCTCATCTTTTACGATGTAGCCTGAACTGAAAAAGGTTAAATGGTCAGCTGTAGTATGTGTTCATTTTTCCATTGATGTACCCTTGTACCTGGAGTGTGGAATTTTTATAGTGGATCATCTGTTGTGTGATGAATATTATTTCCATAATGATGTTCATTCTCTATGTTGCCCATTTATATCACGCGGGTCTGTGTTCTACATTCTCTTCCCTTAACTTTGTGCAGAAAGGTGCTCAATCTCAACCATCTAGAATAACGACTTCAGTTGGGTCAACTAAAACAGCTGGTAATATCCTTGTATCTTTCAAATTTGATCAAGTTCACATATAACTTCTATTTAAGTCCCTTCATTATGAATGTATTGAAAACATTCTGGTGGAAATACAGGGCACCATGAAGATAATTTGTTAAGAAAGCCACAAAAACGTTTTGTTAAAATTTTTCTCCATGCAAGTGGTAATATAGCTGCAAGATTCCTGTTTGATCAGGTAGTAATCCCTAACAGGCTCTTATAAATATATTATAAATGGCTACATCATATTGCTCTTATTCTCTAAGCTCTATCCTTATTCCAGCAACTTGTTGATGCCTTCCGCAAAATACCTAAAGCTGGTTGGAATGCAAAAGAAAGGTAACACTGATGTTTATTTGATTCTAGCATTGCCTTACGGTATACAACTTTGTTGTCATGTGACTTTTCATTTTAAGTTTATGACATGTCTTCTTGATGAATGATGACCATGTTCAAACTGTTTGCATGAATCCCTCCAATTAACCGTAGATCATATAGGAACCCCGAAGGAGTAACTTATGATAATAAGACATTTGCAGTGTTTTTGCTTCAGAAGTTCTGCTGTCACATTCACCTTTTTTTACGTTTGGCATGACCTGGGGGCCGTAACGGTTGTACTTGTATAAGACTTGTGCATGTCCCGGGGGTTTATCACTCACCTCTCGTACTAATGCATATATTTAGTATAATCAAGGAAAATGTAAGAATCTACGCATCCTTGAATGGATCACTATTGTGAAAGACTATTTCCTTTGTTAGCATTAGTTTGCTTTTGCAACTTGTTTGCTCTTACTCGAGCTGTGGTCTCTTGGAAACAACCTCTCTAATTTCGAGTAGGGGTAAGGTTTGTGTACACACACCCTCCCTAGTGGGATCCAACTGGGTTGTTGTATTGTGAAAGACTAGCAGCAATTTACTTTTTGTTTCACCTTATTTACATGTGTATCGTACTATTATGAATAAATTATAAGTTGTATTTCACACTATGTTCGAGCAAGGAAAGAAGTAGGGAAGGTACAAGTTTGACAGAAGGAAGTAGGCCATCTGGGGTAGTTCAAGTGGTTGGAAGGGAGAGGAATTCGTGTCACACATTTTAGATTCTTAGGGATTTGAATTGATTAGTTTACCGGAAATAAAGGAGTGAAGTGTTCCCTAATATTAGACTGCATGCAGTTTTTTATATTTTTTAAATTGAGTAAAAAATCACATGGGCTTACATTTCCCACCTTCAAAGCATTCACTTCATGTCAAATGTTTCAGGGCTTGCATTAGCCCCCATGATGATTTTTTAATTGATTGTAGACTAATAGTGTATTGAGATGGTTAAAGAATCAAATATATATAGCGTCAACCTCAACTTAGACGTGCTTATGTATTTTTAATTTTTGTAGATTGTGGATGTTTCCGCTGTCATCGTTGTCATCTGCAGAAAAAGTCCTAAATGAAGTTTCTAGCTTAAACGTGGAGGTGTGTTATATACATAATACACTTTGATTTCATTTCTCCAAATAAACAATGCCAGGTTGTTGCTCCCTCTGCCCCACTATGTTTCTCCCTTTCTTGTCCAACCTAAAATACTTGTCCCTTACCATATAATGTCATATTTTATGAGGCTCAGATTATCCACACATCACAATTTCAATCACAAAATTCCACTTTCTTAATTTGTGTGCCATATTCCCTCATCCCCAACTTAATGGGACAAAGGGAGTATTGTTTTCCTTCTGAGTGGTGGTTCAAATTGATTTGAAGTGCATCCTATTTTTTTCCAAAACATGAGATTAGTATCTTGTTATGTAGATTGAGAGCTTAGATCCGTTGGTGCGGCGTGCTATTGCTGCAGCCAATGAAGTTTGTGATATTCAAGGTAAATTAGTTATCCTGGTTCTTTCTAATATGCAGTGGTTAGCTCATATTGAAATGCTTGTTGTGAAGGTTACTATGTTTTGATGTAATTGCCCGGATTTCTTCTCAAACTTACCCTCTTTAGTCTTTACCACCATCTCCTTTTCTTCTGTCTTTCCAGTTTGTTTTCTGATCCCCAGGTTTACTAGCAACAACATCTCTACCTTTTGGGTAGGGGTAAGTTCTGTACCCGTCTACCCTCATGAGACCCCGCTTGTTGCAGTTGTGGGATTTACTGGGTTGTTGTTTCTATTGGTGATGATGATGATGCTCTTTTTTCAAAGACTTAGCAACCTTAATCGCATTCATGTATTGTCTGAAATTTTGTTGTTGCTGCTACTGCTTTCGATGATGAATTCTTTTCAAACCTTGTGACATAGCAACCTTAATCTCACTCCTTGTATTGTCTAACATGGATGCAAGTGCTCTTCTGTAAACGTAAATGCTCTAGGGTTTGGGCTTAGTTCAGTTAAGTATAGGGATTTGTAATTGTATGCCAGTCTATTATTCTATTCATGTTGGCTGTTTTTGTTTTGTTTTTTGGCCTAAGATCGCTATGAATACATTCCTGAAAGCATTGAAAAAAAGCTAATGCCTTTTCAGCGGGATGGTGTACGGTAAGTTTAAGTTTTTCTTACATGACGTATGTATTGGTTTATGATATATTTTTGAATTTGAAGTAGTTCAATTATCAATTGAACGCATGAGAACTAAATGTTAATCCTCCCAGATTTGCCTTGCAACATGGTGCTCGTGTCTTTCTAGCTGATGAAATGGGACTTGGAAAGACACTTCAGGTGGTACTTTAACAAAAACTACATTCCCACAATGTAGTTAAGCCATATTTTAGCTTCGAAGTGAGCTAATTTTTTTCTAGAATATTGGTTGTCAATTAGGTTAGCAATATTGTAGACTTGTCTTGAATCCACTTGGTCCTTATCGTGGAACAATTAGGTGCCAAATTAGGTGTTTCTAAGTGGGCTAACAATTTCAAGAATATTGGTTATCACTTGCCAACTGTTAAGAACAAAGCACACACACACGAATAGAAAGCAATAGAGAACACGAGATTTAACGTGGTTCGGTCTAATCTGACCTACATCCACAGGGGCAACTAGGGTTTGTATTATTGAGTGATGATGATTACAAGTACAGGAGATCATATATATAGACAACTAATTAGGGTTTAACCCTTGCTGGACAAGTTATAGCAAACTGGGCTTAAAACCATTTGGGCCGGCCGAAACCCTAATCTGGTCTCCTAATTCCAAGTTGTCTATAAGTGGGCACTTTGGGCCGATGACTACACATCACCAACAATCTCCCACTTGGAGTCTTTGGACCAAACTGCGGCTACTCTCTGTACTTCTGTAAATGAAAAACCCTTCTTGATCTTCACATCTCCCTAGTTGCCCCTCTCCTCAACACTATTCCAGGAGACCAGCTGAAGCTATGCAAAGCTTCAGCTTATCCAGCACCACTGTCTTGGTGAACATATCTGCTGGATTCTTAGCACCTGAGATGTTCTTCA